TCCTTTTCTGTTTGACCTGGTGGAATTTCAGATCCAAGCTCAATTTGTGAGTTTTACCTCTGACGGGATCCCTATCATATCTAAGTGGGACCAGGAAAAACAATCGGCATTAGCTTTAAGGTAATCAATGAGTTTTTTCCAGAGCTTGGAGGTTAACCTTGTGCCTTGGTATACCTTTCTGTCCAGTAGATACTCGATCAATATGACATGTTCCAAATCCTTAATCGTCGACTTGGAGGCATTGGTATCATCTGGTGCTATGAAGGATCTCGAGACCCCAACGTCATCTTTTTTATTCGTTGAGTGTTCCTCCCATTTCTCCGGCCCGGTCGAGGTCTGGATTTGTGATTGCTATTTGGTGCCTTTCTCTTCGACCAGCCCTATACTTTTTGATGTCGTGATCATAGGGACCGGGATCACTTCCTCGACATCGAACATCTCCTTTGCGGCCAGGTTTTCCACGTAGACCATTTTGATTCCGCTTGAGATTGGAAACTTCAATGTCTAATGCAAGGTCGAAGGCACCGCTCTCATATTGTGGACCCATGATCTCACGAACAAGGCGTTGTATCTCACGCCCCCCTCAATTACATAGAATTTTGTTTTCTGGGTGGTCCCGGCTGTGTTGACTGGTAGATTTCACCCTTTGTTACTCACATGCCATGTAGAACCCGTTCAATATTCGAACTGCTGGTACGATTTGCGCCAATAATTCTAGTTGTTCCACGACTCTCCATCGAATGATGTTGATCAAGCTACCTGGTTCAATTAACACGCGCTTAACTCGAGATTTATTAATAAGTACGGATATTACCCATGCATCATAGTGAGGTTGAATGATTCCCTCGGTATCTTCGTCACTGAATGAGATGGACTCCTCTGGAGCATAGTCTCGAGTGCATTTTACCCTTGTGATAGAAACTTTGGTGCGTTTTATCATTGTCCCTTGTGGGACATCTACTCCCTCGATGATCATGTTGATCACATGTTGAGGTTCTTGCTACTCAATTTGTTTGTTGGCGTCCCTTTTTTTTAAATGATTTTTGGCTCGCTCAATTAGGAATTCCTGAAAATGCCCATTGTTGAATAGACGAGCTACTTCTTCCCTTAACTGTCGACAATCCTTGGTCCTATGACCATGAGTACCGTGATATTAAAATATCAAGTTGTGATCCCTCTATGTGGGATCGGACTGGAGTGGCCATGGCCATTTGGTCTCCTTGATGCAATCGATGGCCAACACTATACTCGCTACGTCCACGTTACAGTTATATTCTGATAGACTCGAGGCTTCTCTTGCCCCGCGTGATCTGTCGATATCATTTCTACTCACCAAACCTCGATTAATAGGACCTTGGTCTCTTCTCCTCTCATTGCTAGTCGGGTGGAGACTGGGTCCGTTTCCCCTTCTATTAGAGCTTTATTGCTGGTATAGATCTTGGAGTGGCTTCGGCTGGTCGTCCTCGACTCTAATCTTTGACTAGTACATGTTTCCAACATCGGCCCAAGTAACCGCAGGGTACTCTACCAAGTTTTCCTTTAATTGTTGAGGAGAAATTGAACTTCGGGGTTTGAGTCCTTGAGTAAATGCCTGAACGACCCAATCATCTGCAACCGGGCGCAGGTCCATCCATTCCATCTGGAACCTCGACACGAACTCCCTAAGAATTTTGTTGTCCTTTGCTTGAATTTCAAAAGGTCTGATTTTCTCGTCTATACCTTGATAGCGCTGGCATGGGCTTTAAAAAAGGCATCTGCAAGCATAGCAAACAAATCAATAGAATTTGGAGGTAAGTTAAAGTACCATATCATCGCTCTTTTAGATAAGGTTTTCCCAAATTTCTTCAGCAACACCGACTCGATCTCGTTGTCTTCGAGGTCATTTCCTTTCATTGCACATGTGTAGAAGGTTACATGCTCGTTTGGATCCATGGTCCCATTATACTTGGGGATATCAGACATTTGGAACCTTTTCAGATTTGGCTTCAGTGCCGCACTCGGGGGAAAAGGTTTCTGAATGAACTTTTTGGAATCAGGTCCTTTCAATATCAGAGGCGCTCCCGGGATCTGATCGACCCTTGAATTGTATGTCCCCACCTTCTTATCATTTTCCTCTATCTTTTTTTCCCAGACTCCACCCATTTTGTTAGTATTTCGAGTATTTTCATCACCTCGGAAGTCTCACCGGGTCCAAACCCATCCGGTTCTGTTACAATCCGTTCATCTCTCTGAGCTTCTTCTCCAACCCGCTCGGATTCGGCCGTGTTATGTGCGTGATTTTGACTCTGCAGTTGTGCTATTACCACTTGCTGAGCTTGTAATATTTCAAAAATCAAACGTAAACTAAGTTCATCACATCCCCCTTCGGGCGTTTTTCAAGCCCATGACCGGGGTGCCCCGTGAATGCTATTTTTGGGATCAGTTGATAGGTTGATATCGATAGCAACTTGTGAATTTGTGTATTGGCGTCGGCTGGGTCAGCGATTGGAACACCATTAGGGTCAACAGGGGGCAGGCCATTGCTTGGTACCACATTATTATTTTTACCGTAGTGGCCTGACTAGGTGTCAACGTTAAACTGAGCAGACTAAGAATTTGACATTTTGACTAGACCTGAATCAAACTTCAAATAGCAAGCGTAAAATAGGGTGTGTTATAGAGTTCGTAATAAATCACCACTATTATCCTTAGCTCCACGGTGGGTGCCAAACTGTTTACCCTTAAAATGAGTAATAAGTTAATATGTACGTGGTTTAAAGGATACGTGATTTAATTTAAGACGAATGATCTAAGAACAACAAATAATTAACTTAAATGGAAACAGAACGATCAAACCAAACGTGATAAAAAAAAAATTAAGCCTTGCTTAGTTTGAACACCGAGACCAGTTCCGATCGAGCCCTCGAGCTGAGCTCGGTTGCAGCTAGTGAAATGAATAGCTGAAGAACACTTTGAACAATAGCTAGAAGATATAATAAACTTTATTGCTTTGATATGCGTGCCAATAGTGGTCTTAAAAATGAAAAGGTTCTCCCCTTTATATAGTAGGGGAGATTCAGTCCTAGAACAATAAGGTAAAAATCTTTCTCTTCTAGTAAATCATGATCTGCAGTTGATAAGGGGCGAGATTCGTGCCGTAATATCCTATTGATGCAGATATTTCGGCCCCTCGTTTGTTCTCTCCAACTGTCTTCCCTTTAGCCTCGATTCTTTATATTGCTCGAGCTCGTTTCTTCCAATGTTTGGCCATGTCCGACTCTTGGCGCGTCATTCGTCCCCCGAGCTCTGATCTGTGGGAGCCGTCGGCTTTACCCGAGACTGTGTCAAACCACGTGCACGTTGTCTTCTCGTTTCTTCATCGGAAAATTAGGGTAACTTTATCTCCGATTTTACCCGTACACAATCTTCTTTTTTCCAGAGTCGTTCTTTTTCCATATTCTTCTGCATAAAAAAAAAATTAGACATGCTACAGGATAAGGAATGTAAAATAAGTTCAAATTTTCATTAATATTTACAAGTGATTGCTATGTCTTAATACCAAAAAAAATTAAACTGTAGGAGTGAAAGAGAGGAGAGATAGAAGAAGAGATGCATGGAGAAAGAGAGGGAGGGGAGGCGTAGATAAGTGTTATAGTGTGCCTCATACAACTGACATTAGTTGCGTGAGATATTTTTTTATCTCATAAACTTACGGACCTAAATTTTACTCTTTTGTGTTCATAAAATTATTAGATAAAAAAGATGTCTCACACAATTAATATTAATTGTGTAAGGCACAAAATAAAATTTTCGGCGGATGGATTTGTATCTTACATGCCAATTCTCTTTTTCATTGGATATTGGTCCATTACGTATGAAGCCTCATGTCGGCTAGTAAAGTCAATAGATAAGTTTGGGTTATTTGCATCGTATGAACTTCTTTAGGCTGCTCTTTGAATTTTGTCATATGTTCGTTTAGAGGGCTAAATTTCACCCTTAAAAGCAGTTGAATAAAATAATTTTGCAAACAGATTTAGACCACTAGGCTAGCAGGGGAGCAGAATTTAAAGAGTAGCCTGAAAATAGGCCATTTGTCCAAATACCCCGATTTTACAAAGCTGGCCCTTCCAATCTTATGTGCTACGACCCTCCCAATCTTTCTTTAAGCAGTTAGACAAAAGGGAACAGTTGAAACAAGGAGGAGGAGGCAAGCAGTAGAAAGCAAAAGTTGGAATCACATTTTTTGATTCGATATAAATAGTCTTATGTTTCATGAACATAGACTTGTAAAAGTACATCGTAAAACTTTGTGTCCTTTGTTTTAGATTCTTTTGTTGCTCCTTTCTGGAAAAGGGTGGTGGTAGAACATTTGTAGGGATTTAGATAATACTTGAGTCAAAGTTGAAAAAAAGAGTAACTGAAATTTAAGCTTTTTTTTTGGTCAACCTATTATGCGTATGTATTAGTTAAACATGAGTCTGTAGCAATTAAGTTAAAGTTGTGTTTGAAAATGAAATACATTTAAAAAAAAAAAAGTTTTGGAATGTTAAAGATTTGTGAGTTAAACCAGAAAAAGGAATGATTGGAAGTTAAGATTTTTGTTCCCTTAATATGTAAGTGTTTGTATGTCACAAATGAAAATATAAACTTAAAAGAAGAGCTGTGAATATATCCAACATCATCATGGTTATAATTTACCAATATTCTGAAATTAATTTCCTCTATCAATTTTAGTTCCATCAAATTTTAGATTCTCTTGAATTCTATCAAATTAAGGAGCGAACTAGTTGATCTACCAACAAGTTGGCACGCAAGGGGCAACAGGCAAAGTTGGTCAAAGTTTAATGCAGGAGAGCAGTAGTTGCACATATATATATAACAAAACTATTATAGCCCTTACCTATTTGAATACTATGATTTCTCTACTGCAAATTCTGTTACAAATGCACATCAATATTATGCACTAGGGAGAAAAAAGGAGAGAAATAAGTTAGGTCAAGAGTCAATTCTTTTCATGACAATAACCCAAAGACTTCTGTATATAGAAACTAAACCTATTTTGTGCACACATTTACATAGCTATCGACAAGATCAAGAACAAAATAAAATTAGACCATGTAAATGGTCTCTTGCTCAAAGCAACTCCATTGCTTATAGAAGTATCTGATTCTGAACGAGCTTGATCGTTAAAATTAGGATTTGAACCGTAAAGAGCTTGAATTCCCTTAATATCATCTATTTTCAAATCGACCTTCTTTTCTCTTGGTCTTAAACTAGGGAACATCACTGCTTCTTGAACTGAAGTATGAGCCAGCCCTAACAAATGTCCAATTTCATGTGTAGCTACTGATTCCAAATCAATAGCCTCATCTGATTTCTTTCTATCAAAGTCCACCGCCCATGTCTCCGCCGCATCAAGGTGGAACCTCCCGGTTTCCGGCGAAAATGCATGAGCTAAAACACCAAGAACTCCATCAAATGGCTCCCCATCCCCATGATCACCTTTGTAAAACCCTATTTTGATATCTGCAAATCCGTAGTCTTTGCTTTCCAAGAAAGTAACTGGTATTACCTATTGATAAATAACATTATTAAGTAATTAAATTATTTACAATGTGCATAGAAGATAAACTCATCTTACCGAGGCCCAATGGCTAAAAGCACGTCGAAAAGCATCCTTTATCTCCGACTTGCTCAAAGAAGTTATCACATTCTCCGGCGAGAATGCGTACGTTAAAGTTATCGGTATACTTCGTGACCATCTCGGCCGGCCGGAGAAAAATGCGTAATGTCTCTTTGCATGCATGAATTTAGGGGCAGAATCGGATACGCCGCACCTAGGTGAAATAATCTGAGAAACTGTATTTTCATCAAGTTTTCCAGTGACTGAAAGACCTAACTTTTCTTGATATTTAATCAAGGCATGCTCCAAGTGATCATCAAATAAATCAGTAAAATTCAAGTTGTCCATCTTCAAGTACCCGAATCGATGAAAATATTTCTTGAGCTCAGAAATCCCATTGATGTTGTTGCCTCTAGTGGCATCCACAAATTTCCCAAATTCATGCCATGTATAACTTCGAATTTTATGATTATTTGTGGGGTTTGTAGGCTTAGAAGAAAAAAATGGTGATGTTCTAGTAGAAAGACACGGAGAGGAGAAGAGAAAGGAAACAAGTAGAAAGAAGGAAGAGAAGAAAGACATATTGAATTGTGAGATATGGGTGAAGATGCTTGGTTATAAAGGAAACGACAAATTTGTTATTGTGAAGTGGATGTGTAATTAATTAGTAGTATACAATATTGAATTGTGACGGCCGTGTAATTCCGTTGATTTTGCAAAGTGTGTTATGATGGAGAAGTTAGGATAAATCTTCCTTCTTGCTTTTCTAGTTGCTTTTCTCCTTTTTTATTTTTTCAAAGGTTTAATTCTGACTACTAAGGATAAGGGGAATTGGTTGGTGAATCACTGTACTTTTCATTCTATTTAAGTTATATACATAAATAATATTTACTTACCGTTTTACTAAGTTAACAATTAATGTTTATTTTAGAAACTTATCAGTCTTTATTTTAGGATTTAACTTATATATGTTGATGTTATACAGAACTTTAAACTATCGGTATATTTGGACCTATTATAACACGATAACTACCCTTTTTATGTTACTAATTATACTTATTATGAAATAACGTTACTTGCAGTTTTCCTTTTGGTGATATGATAGTTACTTTATAATGAACTGGGAGTACAAATATCTTTTAGACAATCAATGCATAAAATTTAGATACTTTCCGAATTGGTAGCTGCTTCCTATGAGCCAAGTTTTACACAATTTACCATTTTTGCTCGTTCTTCTCATTTCCAGTCTGTGTTAAATCGCTGAATAGACTAATTAATTTCTAAAAGCAAATAATTGTGAGCAAAGTTCTAGCAAACCGACTAGTTACTATTTCTAACACATCATGTTCTTTGTTTCTGAAAATGAAGAATTTGAGGTGTGGACTGTGTCAGAAGCAAGAGAGCTCAGCGTTTGGTAAGGTATGGCCATAATAGAGTTACTATTGTGAATGGTTTTGTTTGGTTTTCAAGTAAAAGGAAAGTGGCAAACTGTTAGAACCAAAGTCGATACACCAGTACTAGAAGGTAGTTATGACTATGATTGCTAGAGAGTCAGAAAAGAAAGGTCGTTTGAGACGTGTAAGAGACTCAAAAGCAACTTGTGAAAGGAAGCAAAACTGTCCTTTTCTAGTCTTACTATTTTCGCTTATATTTACATAATCAAACTATTTAAAAGATGATTATAAATAACTCTAATAAGTACCATTGATTGATAACTTAAAGGCAGAATAGCCTAGGAGACACTTGTACTTGTTCCGGTTTGTCATCCCGGTTCCTACACTCCATAAAGTTTCATCCAGGCACTTCAACTTAATCAAAACAAGACTTTTAAATACCTCCGGAATCGTGTGATGCTCACTTGCTTGACGTGGATGACAAATCAGCATCCACATCAGATTCTACGCCAAAATAATATTATTTAACAAAATTTTAATTTCATAAACAAAAAATAAAATAAAAAAAGAAAAAATTAAAATTAAAATTAAAGAAAACCCCTCCTCCCTTCTTCAAACCCCACTCAACATTCTTAAAAGAATAACCCACCTACCATGGCTCCTCCACCATGAATACCACTACTTCCTTCACTCCTCTTTTAAAGAAAGTTATCTATCCATGAAAAATACATGAGTAGAGAATTAAGTCTTTTGAATTTTGACTTATTCCTCTACCCCAATTTGGAAGGGCTGTGAAAAAATTTGAAAGCTAAAATCACCGAAAAAAATGGAGGAGTCATAGAGAAGGGGAAGATGACATGATGGAAGAAGAAATACACACCAAGGAGAAAATCTAATAAAAGAAGGGATGAAGAAAAAGGGGAAGGGAGGGGATCTAAAGAAGAAGATGAGGAGAAGAGGGAGGGGTCAGAACGAGGGGGGGCTGAAGAAGAATAAGAGGGGGNATGCGAAGAAGAAGAGGAGGGGGGGAGGGGGTGCAGAACGAAGGGGGAGGCGCTGCTAGTGTATTTTTATTTATTTATTTATTAATTTTTATTTTTTTTAAAAAAAAGAATCATCAGCTCACGCACCTAATGTGCGTGTAAATCATTCATTTTGTCCACTTCAGCCATATTAATGCCGCATAAACTCGGTCAACGGTCAGAAGGGTTTAAAAGTCTTGTTTTGATTAAGTTGAAGTGTCTGAATGAAACCTTATGAAGTGTAGGGACCGGGATGACAAACCGGAATAAGTACAAGTGTCTCCGAGGCTATTCTGCCTAAAGAAAATAATACTTCCTCCGTCCCAGTTATGTGATATCGTTCAAATTTCGAGATCTAACATTTTAATTTTAAGTTTTTTGAAATAAAAATTGTATTTAAAAATTACATAAAAAAGTATTATAAGTCACAATAATTTATAATTTAAAATATTTAAGAAGTATATAAAAAATTACGGTCAAAGAACAACTCGATTGACTCTTGAAATTCGAACTGTATAAAGTGAAAGATAAGGAGTAATAGTATTAATATAACAAGTGGCAAGCTATTAAAAGGCCACTTGGCATTTTGAAAATGGGTTTAGGGGAAGCTTTTCAAATAAGAAAATAGAACTTATATGGAATCACATTTAACAGAAATCTTAGTTTTTAAAAAAAAAAAATTAGTTTTGATTCTTATATGGCAATGTTCAATTCAATTTTGTTATGGATCTTTAATTGTTTCATATCTGGCTAATAATTTTTTTGTATCTATATTTATATTAAAGTAATAAAGTTACCATATATAATTGGCATTATAGCTAAGCCAAGTGACAAGCTATTAAAAAGCCACTTGGCATTTTTAAAGTGGGTTTAGGGGAAGCTTTTCAAATAAGTAAATAGAACTTATATGGAATCCCATTTGATGGAATTTTTTTTTTTTTAATTTAGTTTTGATTCTTATATGGCAATCTTCATTCAATTTGTTATGGATCTTTAATTGTTTCATATCCGGCTAAGTAATTTTTTTTGTCCCGACAAATATGAAAAAAAAGAAAAGTAGGGATTTATTAAGACAAGTAAAAGCTGTATCAATTTCCTATAAAGATGCAGATGTCATATAGAATACTATAATTATGGCAACAATAAAAAAAGACATATTCATCGAAAGATTCATGGATATAAAAAGCTATAAGTATTACTTTAACAAAAAGGAAGAAGAAATAAATAAAGTTATATGAACTGTTAAAAAATGAAAGGAGCAAATTGCTCATCCATCGTGTAATAATAATAATAATAATAATAATAATAATAATAATAATAATAATAATAATAATAATAATAATATTAACAATAGCAGTAGTAGTTTATATTCTTCTATCTATTTATTATCTTAAACAAAATCAACAAAAATTTATCGAAGCTTTTGAATTGAAAAAAAATGCCAAGAAGAAAAAAACTACCTTGGTTGGTAAAATATAAAGTATGAGCATATGAACTTCTATTTTTTATTTAATATAAATTAAATACTAGATGAAATAATTATATCAAATTTTATTGTAAGGAAAACAATATAGAAAGAGAGGGTAGAGATAGTGTGAGAAAATTTAGACTTTGAGTAATATAAAAAATAAAATAAAAATAATAAATAAATAATATTCAAAAATATTATTGATAAGTTTAAACATTAATCTGAGCTATAGAATAAAAGCATACAAGAATAAAAGTAGATGAAAAATTTTATTACAAGAAAAATAAAAATCAAAGTCATTCTTATAATGAGAGTAGCTGAAGATATCAATAATTTTAAATTATGGGTAACTTAATCAAGAAACCAAAAAAGGGGAGAAAAAAAATATGTAAATACAAAATTTCAATTTTTAGATATAAAAGGATACGACTTATTTGATTTTTGAGATGAGAATTGTTTTTGAAATAAATCATATGGTCATGCTATATAGATAAGATTACGTAACTGGAAATATTATAATAGATAAACTAAAAAGAATATAGACAATTGACATAATTCTAAAAATATAAAGAAATAATATAAAATTTTATGTAGTAATCTTAATAAAAAATTAAAAGTCAACTTTCATACTAAATAAAAAAAGGAAGGAGAATTTAATTTAATTGCTTATTGAAAGTGATCCTACAATAATAATTAAAGTTATTAATAGATTTAAGACATATAACAAACGAATTTCTCTATTTAAACTTTGAACTAATTCAACATTACGCATTTAGAAAAATAATATAACAATATTCATATTATAAATAAACTCTAAATTAAAAAAGTTAAAATATTATTGAATAAAAACTAATGTATAAAGAGAAAAATGGAGATACCATAATTTTATCCGTACTTGACAAAAATAAGTAAATAAATAATACTCAAAAATATTATTGATAAATTTGAACAATGAGAGAATTCTGAGAAATAGTCATACAAGATAAAGTTATGTTAAATTTTATGAGTAATACAAAACTATATCCATTTTATTATATTAATGTGGTAAGTTACTAAAAATTTCATGTTGTAATTTGATAATACTAAGTAACAGATAATACAATTAGAATAAGCAAGGAACCAAAAAAATATAATTTTAGAAAAAATATAGAAATATAAGACTTATAAGTATAATTATGATGAGAAAATTCATATACTCACAATTGAAATTATAATAAAGGAAGATTCATAAATGAATAATATTAAAGATAGAAAAAAATTCAAGTGATAACGTAAAATGTATATATTATGTCACGACCCAAGATCCACTAAGGATCGTGATGGCGCCGGACACCACGGTCAGGCAAGCCAACGTTAAGTAATTAATTTAACTCTCATTTTAACATTTTAGGAACCATAATTTCCTTTAATTTAACTAGAAAAAGTAATCATCACTGAATAAATAAAAGTGTTTACAACTTTTAATATTAAATATCCCATAATCACCCCAGAACCCGGTGTCACAAGTGCATGAGCAATCATTAGGAGAAACAAATTAAATACAATAACTGTCCGGAATGCAAACTTGGACAGAGAGTAAATACAGTAATCTGAAAGAGACTCTGCTGGCTGCAGGTCGTCTCGAGCGATGCAGCTCACCTAAGTCTTCGTATCAACCATGCTGCTACGCCCACTAGGCCACTAGAGATACGTGTGCATGTGCAACAAAAATGCACAGCAAG